CCGGGTCTCAGGATCCAGTCGCGGTTCGTTCTTCGTCCGGGTCGTGTCTGGGTCTCGCTCCTGTGTCTTTGTGATTATTTGTGGTTCATTGCTGGGTTATTGTCGTTGATCGTAGCTCTGCGAAGATCTTCTGTTAAAAGGGAGTTACGGTAAATAATTAATGATGTACCTTTTTCAATGAGTAATTTACTAGAATGTAATTTGATGGCAATTACTACGAATTCGATCACATATTAACAATAACAGCTAATAATGATTATATTAGGGGTGATAGTGAAAAAAAAGACATTAACAGCAACGATAACAATCCATGAATGTTATATTTATGTAAATTTCTCTTTAACCCGCTCAGCCAAAGGTGGGAGGAAGCAGTACCGACGCATACCGGCGTGGCACTCTGTCACGTATGGTAGCACTCGCGAAAAACCGCGGCTCTCACCCTTCCTCAAGCCGGCGTTTCCGCTTCCCTTGAGTCCACCGGCGGCACAAAGCCCTCGACGCTTCCCAGAACACCGGCGAGATGCCCGGAAACTTCGTCTTCACGCAGGACAATCCCGATAACCTGAACTGCGCAGGGGAACCCGATGTCCTGGAACCGCACATGGTGGGTTTCCGAGAATCTTTTATTGTTTTTAGTTTTTTTTTTTTCATAAGCTCTGTAAATGAAAAAAAAAAAAATAGAACGACGTTTTACTGGTGGAAAGAAGTAGAAAGTCTGCGGTAAATACACAATATTTCATTTCACTTGTCACTAGAAATCAGGGGATATTAATCCAAGGATGGGTTTGAGGGTTTCTGGAAAGATCAAATAATAATTAACAATGTTCGTTTTCTTTAGCTTGTTTACTTTGAAGGTTAATATTTTGTATATATATATCTATAAGATAACTAAATTTCAGTAAATAAAGTACATTACACACATTCCATGCAAAGTTGTGTTTTGTGTGCGTGTGGTTATTTCTTGGGAATAAAGGCCCAAAGCTTTCATTTTAGAGGGGTCCGTGACACTAAAAATGGATTAGAAGCACTGCACTAGATGTTTTCGTTATTGACAAGCCCATTACATTGTGACATGTGTAATTCCTTATAAGTTACCCCCGTTCGTTACGTATTATGTATTCTTTGCTGATTACTAACGTCTAGAAAATGTTTATTTTTCGCAAAGTAGTTTGAGCGTAGGCAGTAAATGTCTTGTGTGTGGATTCCGTAGTTTTGTTGTTTTGTCAGTTTTAAATTGCTTCCGGAGTGTAAAGCAAAAAGGATTTATTAATTTATATGAAAAAAAACATTCAAATAGATTATCTTTTGCTTCGAAAATAACCATACGAGAAAACAACAGGATTTTTTACATCCACGCACCGTCATGGGGAAATGAAGACATTCTTGAAATAATACTAGCTCTCCTACGTTGGAAAGGAGGAGTCAGTGGAAAAAAAAGTTTATTTACAAAATTCTGTTCACTCAGACCAAGGTCGTTGCATTCCTTGGCTGCAACACAACCAGGATGTGCATTCGTTTTTCCTCGAGAAAGAGACTGATGTGCCATGTGTATAATCGCATTTCATTCATAGATATTTTACTACTATTTCACACGCGTTAGGGCATGTGACTCTAAAGAAGGGGGGATATATTCGCATAATAAGATACATCACACATGAGCAGAATTCTGTCGTTCTTTGTCCCCAGCCACATCGGCCAAGAAAGAAAGCACATATTATTTTCTTGGTTTAAATAACTTCCTGGGGCTCGCTCGCATGCAGACACTTATAGCCGGTGGAGTCTAAACTGCCAGTGAAGGTCAGGTTCTCGTTCAGAATCGATTAAGGACTTTTGCTTACAACTGGCAGAGCGGGACCTGCGCTAGCTTTTGTTTCATTGGCAAAGGGGTACCTGTTCGCAAGTGCACGGATAGTGGCTGATAAGGGATCGAAGTAATAGGTATTTACAGATATTTACACAGGAGAGCAACTCGAAGGGATGTCTTCCTCAGAAGTACATGTCTCGAGGATATGTACTCTCTCTCTATCTATCTATCTCTATCTCTCTATATATTTTGACTTATTGCAAGTCGTTTTGTTCCATCTTGCACAAGTGAATTGGAAGTTTTCGCCAATATACTCGCAAGCATGAATACATTAGTCAGCGTTTTGTGTTTGTGTGTGTAATTTGTCTATATATTCACACATTTTCCTGGTTGTTGCTATTTGTTATTATTTTATTCCTTGAACTCGTTTCATTTTTATACAAAGGCAGACTTTGTCGTCACTTAGTTTGCACGTTTAAAGCGAAAGTAAATATAAATATAACACGCATATGAAACCATATTCTGTAAATATCATTTACATATAGAACAGCAAACAAAAATAAGAATCTTAAGTCAGGTTAATGGCAAAGTAAAATATAGATAAATGAATAAAAAAAAAAAAAGGCGACTGCATAAATACTTTAAAAGGTTGGATTACCATTGCCAGAAAGACCTTCAAATTAAAGTATTACGTTAAAGACATAGAGGTTATATTCGTATCCTAGGTTAGCCACTGTCACCTCCTCAGTCCGGTGTCCAAAGAATAGGTAAAATAAAGATATGGATGAAAAAGCCCAAAATAACATAGATCTTTTAAAATTATGATATAACAAAGAACCAATGCGCATAAAAAAAATGTTTTCAGACAAAGAAATCCTACTTGTAGCTTCCTCTTGCAGTTCCTAAGATTATCAATAGACATTGATTATTCACTACACAATGCAATTTGCGCTACCTTACTTATTTCGGTTTCATTTAACGACCATAAAGCTTTCACATTGCTTTAAAAAATCATCTTTTACTAGTTTTGCAGCACTAAGGGCCTGCTCCTCAGCCACCTTCTTTTGTCTTTCTCCTTTCTACTCTTTCTCTCCGTTCATTTCCCCTTCCTCTCTCCTCTCATACCTCTTCTTATGTTTCTGTCCTCTTCTCTCTTTTTTTTTCTTATTTTCTTTTTTTTTTTTCAAAAGTCTGCCACACTTCGTCTCATTGATCAATTTTCTGTTTCTATTCTTCTCTTTCTCTCTTCCGCATCTTTTTCCTCCGCCCCCTCCCCTTTCCCTCTCCTTTGTACTTTTTCTACTACACCTATACCGATGTGGCTGCTTTCTCCCCCGCAGCAAACGCTTCTCTATTCGCTGCAATCTCGTGGCCCGTTATATACATGCCTCTGATATTCTATCACTTTATTTCTCATTGTGATAATCTGTGTGTATATTGTGGTTACTAACTGTGGAACTGTTAATATGTTACTATATATTGGGATTGTTACCTTGTTTACTTTGTATTTTTATTCTGTGTATTGTGGACGTATGATTTGTTGTTTGTGGGACTGTAGTTGTCATCTGTTAATCTTACTTTGCTGCACTTTAAGTTAAAAATGGGTATTGTGTGGTAGTTACGCAGAAGGTAAATCAGCCAAAAATACTCAACAAGATTGAGTAGAATTAATTCGTCCTTTTCTGAATTATAAGTTGGCTTTTGAAAAGTGGAAACGTTAACTGTCTAAACATTTGTAGATGAAAAACAATAAATATTAAGCGGAAAACGCGATGGTTTGACTAGAGCACAGTGATGCCAACACTTTAAATGCTGAAATTTTGAATAAATTTATTTTTGTTTTCAATGCAGTCCGGACTCAGCTCTGTATTTTATTTATTTATTATTATTTTTTTTTTTTTTTCATACTGATTGACTCGAACAGACAAGTTTCTTAAAAAAAAAAAGGCTATTATATAACCCTCATCTTTTCACAACCTCTCCTAATACCTAGCCAAAACACGTAAAATTATTTATAGATTATAATATTGACAACACGCCTCAACAGTCACAACATAAAGACATTACCGATGTTTACACCGGCAAATGTCTGTATGACGTCACAGAGGAAGGTGGCGCTTCGAGATGTTTAAACTTCGCGCCAAAAACAGATCCAATTTACAAACGGCGGGAAACGAGCCCATTTATATTTCCTCTGGCACTCGCTCTCTTTTTTTTATGCTGCATTCCACACACATGCTTGTTACGAAGGGAAACTTTGCTCTTTACTTCCGTTTTATATTAGATGTTTGTGGTTGGGGATTAAGGTTATTTTTTCTTTTATGTTCGTTCTCGTCGACTTTTAGTATATTTTTTTAGTTTTAGTATATTTATATTTTATAGTTTTAGTATATTTAAAATCATTTTTTATTTCATGCACTCCAATCCCTCTATATTTTTCTCTCCCCCTACCTTTTCCCTAGACTTTTTGTCATTCTCCCTCGTCCACTTCCTTCTTCCACCTTCTTCCTTTCCTTATCCTTCTTGTCTCTATCCTCCTTCCACCTTCAAACTTTTATTTATATTTTACTCTATCCTCTTGTCTCTATCCTCTCCCAGCTGAAGCGACATCCGGGTATGTGCTATATCCACCTTGGAACCTTTTTACGCTGGCATAAACATGACGAACTTATGCCTCCGGTGAACCAGTTGTCGGCACGTACTCCTCTCCTCTCTTTTGGTTTCTCCTGTCTCTCTTCTTCCTTTTTCTGTTTATTTACCTATTTCCCTTTTTTTCCATTTTGATGTTCGTCTCCTCCGTCTCGTTTTCTTTCTTTCAGTTTCATTTTTCTTTTTTTTTTTCTTTTCTTTTTTTTCTTGTTTTGTAATTTTCTGTTTTCTACTTCTCTCTTCTCTTCTCCCTCTTTCTTCCGCTTCTCTCTCTTCTCACCTCCCTCCTCTCTCTCCTCTCTCTCCTCTCTCTCTCTCTCTCCTCTCCCTCTCCTCTCTCTCTCTCTCTCTCTCTCTTCTCTCTCTCCTCTCTCTCTCTTCTCTCTCTCTCTCCTCTCTATCTATCTCTATCTCTATCTATCTATCCTATCATCATCTATCTATATTTTTCTGTCTATTTATCTATCTAGTTATATATCTCTTTCCATCTATATTCTCTCGTTCCATCAAACGAATAAAAAGGGACATCAGCAAAACAAACAAGTAAATCTTTTCCAAATTCCAATTATGCATACATACATTACATACACACCACACACAAACACACACACACACACACACCTACAACACACAATCACACACACACACACACACAGTATAAGTTAATATATAATGTATTATATATATATATAATATATATAATATATATATATAGTATAATAGTGTATTTATATGTGTATGGTGTGTGTATGCATGTGTTGAGAGTAAATGTACTCATATACCAATATATACACACGTCATAGTGTGATATGTTAGTATATATCTTTGGAAATTGCAATGTGAAGAAAATTATGCTTTGTTTATAAAAAAAAAAATCGGTCTCATTATTGCCAAGACATTGAAATATTTAGACCGTATCACTACAAAGACAATACTTGCTCCGTTTTGTTTTGGTTACATGCACGTTCTACATTTTATTTATTTATTTACTTTTATATTTATTATTCATTTTATTATTATTATTTTTATTATTGATGTTCTTTTCTTGTATTTGTTATTCTAATTATGCCACGTTCTGGATTTTAAAAGAATTACTATGGTAGTGATTGTTATCATCATTATTATTGTTATTATTATTATTATTATTATTATTATTGGAGTAGAACGAAAACACCTTCAATCTATAATTGATATATAATTAAATATTCATTTCACGACGCCAAACTCATCCCTACGCCGCAAATTCATGCTGTCTCTCATTCTTCTAAATACCAACTCCATTCTACTAAAATATATATATAAATACGCGAATATTTCGTAGTTGCCGAGACTCTGTGAGGTTTTACTTGAAGGCGCCAACTCATAAATAACTCATACAGTACATCTTCGAGATCTACGAGTTGTTATACCTAACTTCATAAACATTGAAGTATAAAAAAGGGGTGAATGAATAGGAGAGAGAAAGGGAGGTGGAGAAAAAGAGAGAGAGAGAGATAGAGGCAGATAGGTACCGCGACAGCGACGGAGAAAGAAAGAGGAAGACAGGCAGACAGAGAGAAAAGCAGAAGAGAAAAAATAGGCAGAGACAAGAAAAAACAGACAGACAAAGATAGAGAGAAATACAGACAGAAAAATAGATAGAGAGAAATACAGACAGAAAAATAGATAGAGAGAAATACAGACAGAAAAATAGATAGAGAAATACAGACAGAAAAAAATAGAAAGACAGAAATACAGACAGAAAAATAGATAGCGAGAAATACAGACAGAAAAAGATAGAGATTACGAGAATAGAAGATAGAAAAATAGATAGAGAGAAATACAGACAGAAAAGTAGTATGGAGAAAAATACAGACAGAAAACATAGATAGAAATACAGACAGAAAAATAATAGATAGAGAGTAGAGAGTACAGACAGAAAATAGATAGAGAGAAATACAGACAGAAATATATAGAGAAATACAGACAGAAAAAAATAGATAGAGAAAAAAACAGACAGAAAAAAGATGATAGAATACAGACAGAAAAATAGATAGAGAGAAATAGAGAACAGAAAAGTACAGAGTAGTAGAGATAGAGAGAAATACAGACAAAAATAATAGAAAATGCAGACAGAAAAATAGAAATAGAAGATTACAGACAGAAAAATACAGACAGAAAAAGAGAAGAGAGAAATACAGACAGAAAAATACATAGAGAGAAATAAAGACAGACAAAATAGAAAAAAATACAAACAGAAAAATAGATTGAGAGAATAGCAGACAGACAGAGATAGCAAGAGCAGCTGAGAGAAAGAGCGACATACACAAGCGCAAGTACTCACAGATGTCACCTTCACACACTCAAATATGCGAATTTTCTTCATTTATCTACATTTGTCCTAACTTAGTCTATCAATTAGAATGATTCATTACATCTTCATCATCATTATTATTATCATTATTTTTTTTCCATTATGTTTCATATTTATTAATTGTAATTTACTACTATTATTGTCTTTTATTACTTATCAAACATGTATATATTATTACTCCTGTTTACTATTAATTATACTTATATTATTTTAATTATTTATCCTGTTGTCTACTATTATCATTGTACTATTCATTTTGTATTATTACTCCGTTATATTATCGGATTATACTATTATCATTTATTATTATTACTCCTGTTTTACATTTCACTATTATCATTTTGATATTATTAATTACTATTACTATTGTCATATTTACTATTAATCATTTTATTATTATTACTCCTGTTACATATTATCATTATTACTGATTATCATTGTTATATATACTCCTGTATGTTACTTATTTCATTTTATTATTATGACTCCTGTTGTTATTTATGTCAATTTATACATTATCATTGTTATTATTATTACTCTGTTAATTATTATTATTTGTTTACATTATATATTATATCATTCTGTCCTCAGCGCGACACAATCAAGGAGAATACATCCTTATCTGGATCTATAACATGATCGACGAAGCAGCCAGAGTGGACTTCGAATTCTTCCTAAAAGACGGATGATTTTGTGCAAGTAAAGTCTCAGGATGAATTTATAATAGTTCCCCCTGTATTCCTTTCTTTCTTCTTCTTTCTTTTCTTTTCTTCTTTCTTTCTTCTTTCTTTCTTTCTTTTCTTCTTCTTTCTTCTTTCTTTCTTCTTTCTTCTTTCTTTCTTTCTTTCTTTCTTTCTTTCTTCTTTCTTTCTTTCTTTCTTTCTTTCTTTCTTTTTTCTTCTTTCTTTCTTTTCTTTCTTTCTTTCTTTCTTTCTTTCTTTCTTTCTTTCTTTCTTTCTTTCTTTCTTTTTATATTGCTGTTTTATATAATTTTTCGTGTGTTGAATGCATTGGTTGCTTATATATCGTTTCTTGTGTTATTATTATTGTTAATATCATTATTATTATCATTATTATGATTATGATTGATCATTATTATCATTATAAGTATGATTGATATTTGATGTTGGTATCATTATTATTATTTTTTTATCATTATATTATTGTTATTTTTATTGTTTTGTTATTATTATTATTGTTATCATATTATTATCATTATTATTATTTTCATCATCTTCATCATTATCATTATAACTATTTATCATAATTATTATTATTATTATTATCAGAGGTAGTTATAGTTTCTGCTACTGCTACTTCTAATTTTACTGCTACTTACTATTTGGTGATACTATCGTTGTTAGTATCGTTATTGTAACTGTAACAATATGCTGTTACTGTTATTGTTGTTTTAATTATTATCAGTTCTTGTTATTAGTATTGAGATTTTTATCATCATTATTATTATAGTTATTATTATTATTATTATTATTAATATCATTGATTATTATTATCATCATTTTTATATTATTATCATCATTATTATTAAAACTGTTGTTTTTATTAATACTATATTTATCATTGTCATTATTATTGTATTGTTATCATTATAATTGTTATTAATATTACTTATCATTATGCATCATGTAATTGCTATTGTAATTGTAACAATAATGCATAGCAATAATGATGATAATAATGATCATGATAATAATATGATGATGGTGATAATGATAGTAATAATAACAATAATGATAATAATGATAAAAAGAACAATAAGGATGATTATGATAGTAATGATAATGATAATAATGATTATAATAGTAATGATAACAGTAATATTACTCATAGTAACAATAATGATAATAATAGTGATGATAATAGTAATGATGATAATAGTAATGATAATGATAATAATGAGGAAGAGGAGAATAATAATAATAATAATAATAATAATGATAATGATAAAGGAAATACTAATGATATAGTAGAAAAAGATAAAAATGATAATCAATTGTAATTATCATTACAATAATCATTCTTATTGTTATTATTGTATTTTTTTGTTATAACCATAGTTATTATTATCAGTACTATTGTTGTCATTACTATCACAGTTACCATTACCATTGGTTTAATTATCATTATCTTTAACATTTTTGTTTTTTTGCGGTCGTTGTGTTGTTTTCACTTTTATGATACAAAGAATTAGTGACAGTTGTAGCTGTAAATTGAAATATTATTATTAAACTTTCAACTTACGTAATAATATTAAATTGTGTTGAAAACGATTGCTCAGTGGTCCATAATGTTCTTAACACACAAACATATGATGATAG